AAGTTTAGAAGTTAAAAATCTGTTCTTACACTTTGATTGTATCTATTGTCATACATACATTGTATTAATTAGATGACTAGTAACAGTTTATATTGCAGCCAAAAAAATCAGAGGAGCTACCATAATCTAACGCACAAACAGAATTGAAACCCCAGGCATGGAGGGGATCAAATCTGCTAGGTAATTTATAGTACTAACAAAGATAAACATATTTAGGCACACGTTTTTTATTATTTAATTTTTCAACATCTTACCATTTCTGTACTTCTGGCTCTTCTGGAACAGCAAATTATTCTATTTTTGTTTTTCTAAAAAAAAATGTATGATACCATACACAGTGTAACTGCTTTCTATTAAGGAGTTAAGCTACATTCACCATTCACCATTTTATGACCCTAGAACCACTCTCTTAGAATTTTGTACAATAGAGAATGCAATAAGGATCAAATGAGATGATGCAGGCAAAAAAGTGCTTCATTTTCTACTTGACACAGAATGAGTTACTTAATAATATTAAGTTACTTATCTCTCTGCTTTGGCATTCTTGCTCCAGTAGAAGCACTTGCAATAATTCATGGTTTGGCCAGGCACAGTGGCTCATACTAATCCCAGCACTTTTGGAGGCACGGCAGGTGGATCACCTGAGGTCAGGAGTTCCAGATCAGCCTGCCCAACATAGTGAAACCCTGTCTCTATTAAAAATACAAAAATTAGCCAGGCATAGTGGTGTGTGCCTATAATTTCAGCTACTCCAGAGGTTGAGGCAGTAGAATCACTTGAAACTGAAATGTGGAGGTTGCAGTGAGCTGAGATCTTGCCACTGCTCTCCAGCCTGGGCAACAGAGTAAGACTTCATACAAAAAAGAAAAAAAAAATACAAGTGACAGAGGAATGGCTAGCAAGATGGTTGAATAAGAACAGCTCTGATCTGCAGCTCCCAGTGAGATTAACACAGAAGGCGAGTGATATCTGCATTTCCAACTGAGGTACCTGGCTCATCTCATTGGAGCTGGTTAGAGTGTGGGTGCAGCCCACGGAGAGCAAGCTGAAGCTGGGTGGGGCATTGCCTCACCAGAGAAATGCAAGGGAAACTCCCTCCCATAGCCAAGGGAAGCTATGATGGACCCTGCCATGAGGAATGGTGCATTCTGGCCCAGATACTATGCTTTTCCCACAGACTTCGCAACTCGTACACCAGGAGATTTCCTCAGATGCCTACACCACCGGGCCCTAGGTTTCAAACACAAAACTGGGTGACCACTGGGAAGACATCGAGCTAGCTGCAGGAGTTTTTTTTTTTGTTTTTTTTTTTTTTTTTTCATACCCCAGTGGTGCCTGGAACACCAGCAAGACAGAAATGTTGACTCCCCTGAAAAACAGGCTGAAGCCACAAGGCCATGTGGTCTAGCTCAGCGGATCCCACCCCCATGGAGCCCAGCACGCTAAGATTCACTGGCTTGAAATTCTCATTGCCAGCACAGCAGTCTGAAGTCGACCTGGGACACTCAAGCTTGGTCAGAGGAGGGATGTGCACCATTACTGAGGCATGAGTAGGCGGGTTTCCCCTCACACTGTAAACAAAGCCACCAGGAAGTTCAAACTGGGTGGAGCCCACCACAGCTCCGCAAGGCCACTGTAGCCAGACTGCCTCTCTAGATTCCTCTTCCCTGGGCAGGGCATCACTGAAAGAAAGGCAGCAGCCCCAGTAAGGGGCTTACAGATAAAACTCCTATCTCTCTGAAACAAAGCATGTGGGGGAAGGGGCACCTGTAGTAGGCTCAATTTCAGTGAACTTAAAGATTCCTGCCTGCCGGGCTCTGAAGAGAGCAGCAGATCACCCAGCACAGCATGCAAGCTCTGCTAAGGAACTGACTGCCTCCTCAAGTAGGTCCCTGACATCTGTGCCTGACTAGGTGACACCTCCCAACAGGGGTCAACAGACACCTCATACATGACAGCTCCGGGTGGCATCTAGCAGGTGCCCCTCTGGGAAGAAGCTTCCAGAGGAAGAAACAGGCAGCAATCTTTGCTGCTCTGCAGCCTCCACTGGTGATACCAAGGCAAACAGGGTCTGGGGTGGACCTCCAACAACTCCAGCAGACCTGCAGCAGAGGAGCCTGAGAGAAGGAAAACTAGCAAACAGAAATGAAGTATCAACACGAACAAAAAGGACAGCTACACAGAAACCCCAAACAAAGGTCACCAACGTCAAATACCAAATGTAGATAAATCTACAAAGATGAGTAAAGACCAGTGCAAAAAGGCAAAATTAACAAGCATTCCTATGCACCAGTAATAGACAGTGAGCCAAATCATGAATAAACTCGCAATCACAATTGCTACAAAGAGAATAAAATACCTAGGAATACAACTAACAAGGAACATAAAGGACCTCTTCAAGGAGAACTATAAACCACTGCCCAAGGAAATAAGAGGGGACAGAAACAGATGGAAAAACATTCCATGTTCATGGTTAGGAAGAATCAATATTGTAAAAATGGCCATACTGCCCAAAGTAATTTATAGACCCAGTGGTATTGCCATCAAGCTACCATTGACTTTCTTCACAGAATTGGAAAAAGCCACCTTAAACTTCATATGGCACCAAAAGAGAGCCCACATAGCCAAGACAATCCTAAGAAAAAAAAAGCTGAGGGCATAATGCTACCTGACTTCAAACTACACTACAAGGCTACAGTAATCAAAACAGCATGCCACTGGTAGCATAACAGAGATATAGACCAATGGAACAGAACAGAGGCCTCAGAAGTAACACCACACATCTACAACCATCCAATCTTTGACAAACCTGACAAAAACAGGCAATGAGGAAAGGACTTCCTATTTAATAAATGGTGTTGGTAAAACTGGCTAGCCATATGCAGAAAGCTGAAACTGGATCCCTTCCTTACACCTTATATAAAAATTGACTCCAGATGGATTGAAGATTTAAAGTAAGACCTAACACCATAAAAACCCTAGAAAAAAACATAGGCAATACCATTCAGGACATAGGCATAGGCAAGGAGTTCATGACTAACACACCAAAAGCAATGGCAACAAAAGCCAAAGTAGACAAATGGGATCTAATTAAACAAGAACTTCTGCACAGCAAAAGCAACTATCATTAGAGCAAACCAGCAACCAACAGAATGGGAAAAAAATTTTGCAATCTACCCATCTGACAAAGAGCTAATAATCATAATCTACAAAGATAAAACAAATTTACAAGAAAAAAACAATCCCATCAAAAAGTGGGCAAAGGATATGAGCAGATACTTTTCAAAAGAAAACATTTATACAGCCAACAAACACATGAGAAAAAGCTCGTCATCACTGGTCACTAGAGACATGTAAATCAAAACCACATCAAGATACCATCTCACACAAGTTAGAATGGCGATCATGAAAGAATCAGGAGACAAGAGATGCTGGAGAGGATGTGGAGAAATAGGAATAATTTTACACATTGGTGGAAGTGTACATTAGTTTAAACATTGTGGAAGAGTGTGGCAATTTCTCCAGGATGTAAAAGTAGAAATACCATTTGGCACAGCAATCCCATTACTGGGTATATACCCAAAGGATTATAAATCATTCTACTATAAAAACACATGCATACCTATGTTTATTGCAGCACTGTTCACAGTAGCAAAAACTTGGAATCAACCCAAATGCCCATCAATGATAGACTGGATAAAGAAAATGTGGCACATATATACCATAGAATACTATGTAATCATATGAAAGGATGAGTTCATGTCCTTTGCAGGGACATGAATGAAGCAGAAACCATCATTCTCAGCGAACTGACACAAGAACAGAAAACCAAACACCGCATGTTCTCATTCATAAGTGGGTGTTGAACAATCAGAACACATGGACACAGGGAGGGGAACATCACACACCGAGGCCTGTCAGGGGGTGGAGAGGCTTTGGGAGGGACAGCAGGGGGTGGGGGTATTGGGGAGGGAGAACATTAGGAGAAATACTTAATGTACATGAAAGGGGGGATATGCAGCAAACCACCATGGCACGTGTATACCTATGTAACATTCCTGCATGATCTGCACATGTACCCCAGAAGTTAAAGTATAATAAAAAAAAAAAAATTCAACACCCTTTCATGCTAAAAACTCTCAATAACCTAGGTTTTAATGGAACATATCTTAAAATAGTAGGAGCTTTTTATGAGAAACCCACAGCCAATATCATACCAAATGGGCAAAAGCTGGAAGGATTCCCTCTGAAAACCAGCGTAAGACAAGGATGCCCTCTCTCACCACTCCTATTCAACATAGTATTGAAAGCTTTGGCCAGGGCAATCAGGCAAGAAGAAGAAATGAAGGTATTCAAACAGGAAGAGAGCAAGTCAAATCGTCTTTGTTTGAAGATGACATGACTGTATATTTAGAAAATCAAATAGTCTCAACCCAAAATCTCCTTAAGCTTATAAGGAACTTCAGCAAAGTCTCAGGATACAAAAATCAATGGGCAAAAATTACAAGCATTCCTATACACCAATAATAGACAAACAGAGAGCCAAATCATGAGTAAACTCCCATTCACAATTGCAACAAAGAAAATTAAATACCTAGGAATACAACTTACAAAGGACATGAAGGACCTCTTCAAGGAGAACTACAAACCACTGCTCAAAGAAATAAGAGAGGACACCAACAAATGGAAAAACGTTCCATGCTCAGGGATAGGGAGAATCAGCATCATAAAAATGGCCATACTTCTGTAAGTAATTTAGATTTAGATTCAATGTTATCCCATCAAGCTACCATTGACTTTCTTCAGAGAATTAGAAAAAAACTACTTTAAATTTCATATGGAACCAAAAAAGAGCCCATATAGCCGTGACAATCGTAGGCAAAAATAACAAAGCTGGAGTCATTATGCTACCTGACTTCAAACTATACTACAAAGCTACAGTAACTAAAACAGGATAGTACTGGTACTAAAACAGATATATATATACACCAATGGAACAGAACAGAGGCCTCAGAAATAATGCCACACATTGTGGGGAAGCAGTCAGAGTGGTGGGAAAAACTATAGGGAAAGGATACAAACTTTCTGAAAGGTCTGAAGGCTCTGCAGAGCCCCTGGGGAGAACAGCTGAAGGCAGCTATTCAATAATCCTGAGGCAGAGGGCAAAGAGTAGGTACAAGGGAGTGTGGGGGAATTTATCTTAAACAGGCTTTTTTACCTAGGTTGACCAGAAACTGACCTTTGATCATCTGTAAGCATGACATTCCCTGAACAGGGAAACAATAAATGTTAATTATCTACAGGTTGTGTTGGCTCCAGGTTTTCAGCATTGTGCCTGTAATGAATAAAAGCAAGCAGCTCCAGCTTTTCAGGGCTGCTGTCTGGCCACTAGAGCCAGGGAGTCCCCTGGCTGCTCTTACACTGCATACCTGTGTCCGAGTACTCATTTCATCTGTTGGCCTGGGTCTGTGGGACAGACCCGGCAGGTGGTGACCCATGTGAAGAACGCTGCCATGGATCCCGACGGAAGCCTCGAAAATGAAAGTGAAGTGACTATGCAGTAAGTAATTGATGCCCACTGGAGATTTTCAAGTTCAAGGGGATTTTTAAACTAGGGTTTCACCATGGGACAACAGTTATCAGCTCAACAGCAACAGTATATAAAAGTATTCAAACAGCTGCTTAAAGCTAGCAGAGTGTACATCCCAGAGGCCCAATTAAGGGACCCAATGCAAACTGTTGTTTTCCATAACCCAGGGTTCCTGGAAGAAGGCACACATCTAGAGCTCTAGGAACAAGTAGGAAGAAATCTTAAATGACATCACATACAAGGGCAACATGTCCTAGTAACATCTTTAACATTATGGGCCTTAGTTAGGGCTGCTTTGGCACTGTCTACACAGAAGAGCCTAAAAAGAGAAGGGAGCAAGAACCATCATCCACCCTACTGCCTCCTCCTCCTCCCTCAGCCTCACCATTACCGGGTAAAAGTGCCACAGAGGAGACACAGATTTTCCCTGAGCCCCCTCGCCCAATTAAATTGGAAAAAAGACAAGGGATACACTCCAGTTATGGCACCCTGTTTAAGTCAAACAGCATTAGAAGGGGAGCTCTTGGCCTGCCTGGTGATGCAAGATCAACAAGGCAATTGGATATACGAACCCATTACTTTCAACATTTATAAATAAGTAGGAAATCCCAGCACTTTGGGAGGCCTAGGCGGGTGGATCATGAGGTCAAGAGATCAAGACCATCCTGGTCAACACGGTGAAACCCCGTCTCTAATAAAAAAAAAAATACAAAAAATCAGCTGGGCATGGTGGCGCGTGCCTGTAATCCCAGCTACTCAGGAGGCTGAGGCAGGAGAATTGCCTGAACCCAGGATGCAGAGGTTGCGGTGAGCCGAGATCGCGCCATTGCACTCCAGCCTGGGTGACGAGCGAAACTCCGTCTCAAAAAATAAATAAATAAATAAATAAATAAGTAGGAAAAAGCATTAAAGAAAACAGAGCCGCTAGCCTATTTACAAAAGAATTAACTGAGGCTATACCAGACAACTTCCATATGACCCCATGGGACTGGTCAGTGTAAAACAACTGTAGTGGCCATACTTCCTCTGGAGGGCAGAATATGATGAGTTGTGCAAACAACAAGCCAACCAGAATCAACTGGCCAGGCAAAACATAACGGCCGCTGTGCTCCAGGGGAGGGACCCCTATGTCAATGTACAACAGCAATTAAATTTTGTCCCCCAGGCCTATGTACAAATGTCCTTATGTGCTCACAGGGCTTGGGGCCGGATCCCCGAAGCAGGAGTTCAACAGGGATCTTTTGTAAATGTTCGACAAGGGCTTCGGGAGCCATTTGTTGAATTTACCAATTGGTTAACCCAGGAAATTAACAGACAAATTAGTCATGCTCAGGCCACTGTTATGTTACTGTTGCAACTGGCTTATGAAAATGCTACACTACACTATCAGCAGGCAACAAATCAGAGGAAAGGCAGCTACAGTCAAGGAACTCACATGAGCATGTCAGCTGGTGGGGACTGAAACACACAAAGCCAGAATATTAGCTATGGCATTAAAGCCTCCTAAAATAAAAAGGGAAAACCCTAAATTGTTTTCTATGTAAAGAGCCAGGTCATATGAAGCAGGAATACCCAAATAGTAAAGACCAAAGTAACTCAGGAAAAAAAACCTCCCCTCTATATGCCCCCAATGTATAAAGGAAAATTGAAGAAATAGAGCAAGCTATTTCTCAGAAGCAAGTAGATTGCACAGATCCACAATATTCAGTCCAATTATCTGTATTACCTACTAAACATTCCCCAACAGGATTAATAGGACAAATGGCCCCAGGGCTACACTTACCTAATCAGTTATGGCAAACAGATGTTACCCACACCCCTGAATTGGGAAAACTAAGATAGGTACATGTATCCATTGATACCAGTTCCCACCTAATTAGCACTCATGCTCTTTCTAGACAGTCTGCCTGATATGATATTAGACATTTTCTCTTAACCTTTGCATTTATGGGGCAGCCCACAAAGATTAAACCTCGTAATGGTCCAGCTTACACTAGTTCACAATTTCAACAATTTTGTCACACATGGAATGGCCAACATTCCACTGGTATCCCATATAACCCCCAAGGCCATAGCAGAATGTGCCCACTCCACCCTTAAAAATATGTTCAGGAAACAAGAAACGGGGAATATGAGAAAGGGCCCTGCAACACTATTAGCACAAGGCTTATTTACCCTTAGTTTCTTAAACTTAGATGATAAATTTCCATCAGCTCTAGAAAAGCAACTGGCAAAAATCACTCAAGATACAAAACCTTCAGTTTTATGGAAAGATGTAAATAGTAACATATGGTGTGATCCAAATGATTTGCTAACATGGGGAAGAGGTTATGCTTGTATTCACACCCTCTCAGGTCCTCTTTGGATTCCAGCACAACTGCATCAAACCTCATCACGGTGTGGCTAGGACCCAACCTAGTACCAGAAATGAGGAAAATGGCCCTGCAGGACCTGCAGCCCTGGACGATGTGACTTCCTCAGATGACACAGGCTCCAGACATTACCTGGGGGATGCTGAAGAAGACAACTCAGGAGGCTGAGTGAATCCTTCTCCAGACACAAATGCCATTCACTCCAGAATATTTGTTTTGTGCTATGCTGTCTGTTGTACATTGCAACTTTTGTAGTGTATTAATCTTTTTCATTCTCTCACTTTGCTTGCTACCTGTACCTGCTACACTCTACTGGGACCATCTTCTAGGTCTGCATTTTTTCGCCTTGTTACTTGGGCAGACACCCCCTTTCCAGCCTCTAACAATGTGACCAATTGGCTGGGAGAGATTGACATACCCTTGCTAATGGCACATATTGGACTGAGATGCCAAGTAATACTACGTATCACTCATTGATTGGAAAAGAATAGTACTGATTATACCCATGTTTATGTTATTTACTGGTTCTAGGATGCAAAATCAGAACATGAGTTGGAACGGCTGCGCCAACCAAACCGGTCACTGTGGATATCTGCACACTTCAATCAACAAAACCTGATGGAAAAATAAATAAATAAACAAATAAATAAATAAATAACAGAAAAGGGGAAGATGCAGGAGATCGGTCAGAGTGGTGGGAAAAACGACAAGGAAAGAACGCAAACTTTCTGGAAGGTCGGAAGCTTCTGCAGATCCCTGCGGGAGAATAGCTGAAGGCAGCTGTTCTATAACCACTGCATTTATGGGGCGGCCCACAAACATTAAAAATGATAACGGTCCAGCTTACACCAGCTCCAATTTCAACAATTCTGTCACATATGGAATGTCCAACATTCCATGTCCAACATTCCCTGAGGCAGAGGGCAAGAAGTAGGTATAAGGGAGTGTGGCAGAATGTATCTAAAAACAGGCTTGTTTACTTATGTTGACCAGGAACTGACCTTTGATCATCCACGCACATGACTTTCCCTGAAAGGGGAACAATAAATGTTAATTACCTACAGATTGTGTTGGCTCCACGTTTTCAGCATTGTACCTGCACTGAATAAAAGCAATTAGCTCCAGCTTCTCCAGGCTGCTCTCTGGCCACTAGAACCAGACAGTCACCTAGCTGTGCTTACACTGCATACCTGTGTCTGACTACTCATTTCATCTGTCAGCCAGGGTCTGTGAAACAGAACTTGCAACACTTCTACAACCAGCTGATCTTTGAGAAACCTGACAAAAACAAGCAATGGGGAAAGGATTCCCTAGTTAATAAATGGTGTTGGGAAAACTAGCTGGCCACATGCAGAAAACTGAAACTGGATCCCTTCCTCACAACTTATACAAAAATTAACTCAAGATGGATTAAAGACTTAAATCTAAGACCTAAAAACATAAAAACCCTAGAAGAAAACCTGCGCAATACTATTCAGGACATAGGCATGGGCAGACTTTATGACTAAAACACCAAAAACAAATTGCAACAAAAACGAAAATTGACAAATATGATTTAATTAACCTAAAGAGCTTCTGCACAAGAAAATAAACTATCATCAGAGTGAAAAGACATCCTACAGAATGGGAGAAAAATTTTGCAATCTATCCATCAGACAAAGGGCTAATATCCAAAATCTACAAGGAACTTAAACAAATTTACAAGAAACAAATAAACCACAAAAACAACCACACCAAAAAGTAGGCAAAGGATGTGAACAGACACTTCTCAAAAGAAGGCATTTATGTGACCAACAAACATATGGAAAAAAATTTCATCACTGGTCATTAAAGAAATGTAAATCAAAACCACAATGAGATACCATCTCATGCCAGTTAGAATGGCGATCATTAAAAAGTCAGGAAACAACAGATTCTGGAGAAATAGAAACGTTTTTACTCTGTTGGTAGGAGTGTAAATTAGTTCAACCATTGTGGAAGGCAGTGTGGCGATTACTCAAGAATATAGAACTAGAAATACCATTTGACCCAGCAATCACATTACCAGGTATATACCCAAAAGATTATAAATCATTCTGTTATAAAGACACATGCACACGTATGTTTATTGTGGACCTATTCACAATAGCAAAGACTTGGAACCAACCCAAATGCCCATCAATAATAGACTGGATAAGGAAAATGTGGCAAATATACATCAGGGAATACTATGCAGCCATAAAAAAGGATAAGTTCATGTCCTTTGCAGGGACACAGATGAATCTGGAAACCACCATTCTCAGCAAACTGACACAAGAAAAGAAAACCAAACACCACATGTTCTCACTCATAAGTGGAAGAGAACAATGAGGACACATGGACACAGGGAGGGGAACATCACATACCAGGGCCCATTGGGGGATGGAGGGCTAGGTGAGGGACAACATTACAAGAAATACCTAATGTAGGTGACGGCTTGATGGGTACAGCAAATCACCATGGCACATGTATATCTATGTAAGAAAACTGCACATTCTGCACATGTATCCCAGAACTTAAAGTGTAATTTAAAAAAAAGACTTCCTAAAAAAAAGGGATATGTATTTTTTTTTAAAAAGCCAGTGTTTCTAAAAACAAACATAAAAAATTCACCTAATTGAAAGGTTCAAGTATGCCTATCAAGTTGTTTATATCTCTCCTCCGCACTATCCCCTTGCAATTTACACACTTGTGCAAGTTAAAGGATGAAGAGGAATAGAATGCATGCCTCAGAGAGAAGGAGCTGCATGAAAAGATGAACCTGGGAAATCACTGGAGTGGGCCTGCCATCTCTGAGACATTTCCATCCCTCTTTATGGTAATAGAGGGCTTTGTGAATTCTCAAACACTATCTGTAGTAGCGCTACCATAAAAGCTTTTCATCAACAGTAAGTATCTATCAAGTTTTAGCCTTGATAGCTAAACATTGTTTACTTATCATCTTTGCTTGACCACGGTCATCTCTTATACTCCAGTTGTGTCTACAAGTGTGTATGTTCGATCCTTGTGAAATACAAAATGAAGAGTTTGCTTGATCACTAAAAAATTTTCGTTAGTGACTTCCCTCTGTTCAGAAAGGCAGTTGTTTCTGAATGTGCTCATATTATGCAGTCTCCACAATATATTATTTAATGAAAAAACAATACACATAATAATCTATTGTGTATGCCTTCACATGCATACAAATGGGGTCTATGTGTATGTATGTATATATATTTGGATACCTATCTATCTTCTTGGCCACACACAGATTATCTTTTTTTTTTAAGATTCAAGAGAAATTGATGCTGATCAACTTGGAGTAACTAGGCTTAAAGCTCTTAGAATGAGGTTCGTTTTTCCAGCATGCCATCTATTCTATTTGAATTTGTGACAATATAAATGAATTATTCTCCCATTAATAAAAAGGTGGTTAAGAATAAATCATGTATTTCATTACTTTAATTGAGATGTATTTTTCAAACCAATCAGAAATTTACACTAATTATTTTAAATTATTTTTAGGTAGCACCACTAATACAATGGGAATTCATAACAAGTATTACCCTTTGTTTTGTCACTTTGTAAACCTGTACATATTTTACTTAAAAATGTTTACAGTTATATAATAGAATTCTATAGGCTATATTTTTTAACATGTATTTTACCTTGTCGTATTTTTACCTCTTCTGTTCCCCTTTATTTCCCACATTAACCCCTTCCAACCTTCCAAAATACCCTCCAGGCTCAAAGATTCATGTAAAACACCCATACACATAAAGGTGAAATACTTGGAGTAGTTTTAAAACAGAAGGAATCATGTCATGGGCTTTTCTCTGCAACTTGCTTTTCTTATAGTATATTCTGAAAGTCTCTTCAAGTCAATTACTGTATTGCTGACTCATTCTTTTTAATCTGTGTATAATATTCCACAGCATTAATATATCACAGTTTTACCAACCATTCTTAAGTTAGTGGCCATTAAGGTCATTATTACATTTAGCCACCACAAACCATGTTGTAATAAGTATTCTCATCCTAGCATGATAAACTGTGGCTGATATTCCTTAGAATAGATCTATAGGTGTAAAATTGCTGGCTCAGAGGGTAGGCATGCTTTAAATTTAAAAGATATCACCAAAGTATATTCTAAAATATGAATAGTAATACATATTCATACATAGCAGTAAATTTTTCTTGACACACTTACCAGGTATAGCTGTTTTCATTACTTTTACTTTTTAATTCACACAATATTAAAAAAGTACAATATTATTATTTTAATTCTTAGTTATTTGCATTATTGATGAATGAATGCTGATTCATCATTCTATTTGCCACATAATTTGTCTCTACTGTGACTTTTCCATGAATTTCCTCCATTCAGTTTCTAACTTGGTTGTTTTACTTTTGTTATTATTTATGGGAAGATTTTGTTTGCCCAGTTTTATTGCAAATCACAACACAAAACAAGAAAGTTGAAAATTCTCCAAATAAAGATGAACTCTCAAAAAGATCCCAGCAAGCCTAGAGTCTATAATTCCAATCCTTACTTTGTTAAAAACAGCAAGAATGGAAATGTGACTGAATTATTATTGTCAAACAGATGTTAGATTATTGACATAAAATTTCTAGGTATCTGTAAAATTATTCTAAATTCCCCTTAATGCCTTATGTTCTGTTTAATGCAGTAGTGTCCTACTACATGACGCCTTTTATTACAAACTTTAACCCTATTAGAGGCTATTTATTGGGTACCATAAGCCTGTAAGACCAATGTTGCAAAAGGGTTCCTCCACAGGCCAAGCTGATCTTCTCCTTTAATGACCTGTGAATCATCAGTTTTTTCGATGATTTGGAGGATGATACTTTCTTTTGCTTGTGAGAGAATATTCTTCTGCCTCTAATCTGTTTTTCTGTTTTCTTCTTTAACACACTTCCAGTTCTATAGTGAGCATATACAGGCACACCTAAAGCCAGTGGATACCAGAAATGGGCATGACGAGGCTGTGCATGAATTTTCATGAGGAACATTAAGAGATTTCTCAGCTATAGACCAGTCTCCAGAGTCTAATTTCAATCAACCTTTACACTCTGGGCTCCAAAAAAAATTCAGCAATTTTTTTTTTCATATACTTTCCTACTTCTAGCCTTTGCTTAATTTCTTCCACCTAGAATATTCTTTCTTTACATTTCCAAATGCCTCAATTTTACAAATTTTATCAAGGCCAATGTGGTTGATGATTTCCAAAGATAGCCACCAACAATTCTTCCCACAACTGTATACACATGCTACTTCCACCTCTTTTTGAATACGATCCACTCTTGTGATTTGCTTTAACCATCAGAACGTGGCAGGGGTAACACTTTGCCAAGTCTGGGCCTAGACTTTGCTGGGCCTGCAGCTTCTACTTTCACCTTCTTTGAAACCAACAACCATATAGAGAAGTCTGATCATCCTCCTAGAAAAACAGGCTCTGGAGGATGAGAGAGCATGAAGGGCAACAACGAACCGACCAGCCAGCCCAGGTATGATACCAGATATGTGAGTCAAAACAGCTTGGATCAAATGATCCAAGCAAGCACATTTTAGTCAAGTTTTAGATCCAGTTTTAGTGAAACGATCCTAGTAAGCACGACTTAAAGCAGAGATAAGCTACCCCTCTTTAGCCTTACTAAAACTGCAGAATTATGAGCAACTTAATGGTGGTTATTGTTAGGCCCCTAAGTTTTAGGCGTGGTATTCTCATATGGAAGTGGTTTGAACTCTGCCCCTCTGTGAAATCCGATGGCATTTTATTTCTCACTTTTTTGTGGCACATCACTTTCTACACTGTATCGGGACAACTCCGTGAGAGTAATTTACTATGTTATATTATCTTTGCATTTCCAAAGTAGGGCAATATTTTCTTGTATGGGACTCAACAAACACATTTATACATGAGTAATTGTATTTGTGTGTTCATATACACTATTCACACATATGAATTCTACACAATACAATTAAGTAGGAAAGATTCCCTCCTCACCTAAAGCAATCAATGTTTTCTTAAGGTTGATACTTAGGTATTCTTAACGGTATTGGTGTTTTCTGCTAACAGCTTGAAAGACTGAGATAAAATTAACCATTAGAATGCATTTGTTTTGTGTGTACCTTCCTGCAGATAAATTTTAAAGTCGAGTCACCATCCTAAGGTCCATTTTCCAGTTTTTTTACACATGCTTTATCATTTTCCTGTGGATTTTTCAAGTGTTTCATAGTGAAATAGGTGCTTTTCCTACAAAAATATGCATTTATAACACTGATCCCTGTAGCTCATGGTGGCTCCCAGTAAAGGTTTAGTATACCCGACAGCATGTCATTGGCCTTACGGCATAGAGACCATACAGTCGTGAGGAAACACGCAAACTATGGAGCAAACATCAGCAACAAGGACACATCCAGCACAAAGTCCCAACCATAGTCTATGGGCACCTGTCAGTAACAACGAGTCAAAAATAAAAAAGAGCAGGGGCATACTCTGGGGAATGTGATCAGAGGAGAAATGCACAGAGCCACAGAGAATGTAGCATTAATTATGTCAGTTACAAGTCAGGGGAGAGAGGTGGAAAGCAGATGCAAAGAGTTCACAGGCTCCTTTAAGTAAGGGCAGGTCAGCACAGCCTACATGGGTCGCAGATCTCTATTTTTCATAAATGCCAAGGATTCTAGGTGGTGGGATAATTGACAGGCTGCTCTCCTCTCTGAAAAAGGATTAAGAAGTCAGAAATGGAGCAAACTAGATTTTTAGGAGTACCTCTAAAATGGCAAGTTTTGGCAACAAACTCCAGGATCCCTCAGCCTTTCTACCATGGAAGAGGAGAACAATATTCTTGAGTATCACATATGTAATGACAGCTACCACTTATTGCTGACTATCAACCCAATAAGGTAGATCACATATGCAATGATAATATATAGCCACCACTCATTACTATTATATCAACCCAGTAAGGTAGACACTATTTTCTAGATAAGGAAACTGAGGTTATGAAAGGGGGAGTTATTAGCCTAAGATTGGAACATAGGTCTACTGGCACAAAGCCCAGGCTCACCTTGCATATCCCTGCCTCTATCCCTGCCTACCCCACTTTGGAGAACTACAGTTGCTCCCCAAGATCAGGTTCCAAGGTGTTGGAACAGTAAAGCCTACAGATGGAGGGGCCTGACACTAACAGAGTTTTGTTAAGCCTAGGGTAGAAACTGACACCTTTGTCAATAGGGCATATTTATTCCAGAACAGCCTGAGAGGTATCATGCCCAAAACAATGTACTCTGGATTTAAGGGAGGAGGGGCAAAACTGTTAACACTGTGGATTCAAAAGACATCTTCCAAAGAAACAGGCTTATTGAAAAACACACACATGCATACACACCTACAAACTGCTTTTTACATTTCATTAAGACTAGTGCTGGGTAGATAACTAGAAATTATTCTTCATGTTCCAGAACAGGAGGAAATTGAAAGAACTTGTTCAATGAACACAAAGGCTCTTTGTGTTCATCAAACTGTTAATTTTCAAATTCCTGTTTTGGATTTGGCTTGAAATTACGTGGATGAATATCTTTAAAATATATATGTTCTTTCTCCAGTTGGCATGATATGTCATCCTGAGCCTTCAAAAAGTACTTCAAAAATGAAGTACTCATCTTGATTTTTTTAGACATATTCCTGCTCCTTTAGGAATCAACTTTACAGTAACTTCTTTTAGTATTCAAAAGCTTGAGGTTTGCAACAAGATAACCCTGAGTTCTAATCATGACCGTCACCACTAGCATTGAGAAAACTCCTTAACTACATTCTCTGAGAATTGATGTCCCTGTATTTTAAAAGGGACTAATAATACTGATAGGGTTCGGATCTGTGTCCCCACCCAAGTCTTATATTGAAACATAATCCCCAATGCTGGAGGTGGGGCCTGGTGGGAGGTGACTGGATTACGGGAGTGGATTTCCCCATTGGTGCTGTTTTTGTGATAGTGATTGAACTCTTGTAAGATCTGATTATTTAAAGGTGTGTACCATCTCCCCCCTCTCTCTCTCTCTCTCCTTCTCCTTCTCTGGCCAGGTGAAGTGTTGGCTCCCCCTTTCCCTTCCACCATGATTCTAAGTTTCCTCAGGCCTCCCTAGGAGCCAAGCAGACAGCCAGCATCATGCTTCCTGTACAGTCTGCAGAACTGTGAGCCAATTAAACCTCTTCTCCTTATGAATCACCCAGTCTGAGGTATTTCTGTATAGCAGTACAAGAGCAGGCTTAAACAGATACCAATCTCATATACATGTACTGCCAGCACTCCTCCTCCAGCAGTTACTCCTATTACTGCCACTATTGCTCCAACAAGAACCACCATAGAATGCACTATATATTCAGCATTTACTATGTGCTAGGCACTAGTTAATTACTTTATATACTTTCTGACTAATGCCCATGCCAACTTTTCAGAGAGGCAGGGTATTTATCCCTTCTTCGTGGCTGAAGAGACTTAAAGACTAAGTATCTTAATACCATTAGCTACTTCTGAGAAACTGGGATAAAAATCCATGTTTACAGGGCTTAGAATGGTTACACTTAACCAGCAGGCCATACTCCCTATGATAATGAAATGAGCTACTGTAAGTTCTTGGCACCACCCTAGGAGTGAGTGGGTCCTCCATAGAGAGTTGCTGAAACTCTCTTTCCCCCAGAGTGAGGCCTTTCTCAGCTTCCTGAAACCGTCATTCATTCTTCTGTGCTCTCAAAGTACATATTTGTATATACGTACATATCTTTATCTTTCTGTGTATATCTTTACTGAAGCATCTTTCTTTTTATAATTAAATATATATCTGCATCCCCATCAGCCCATGGGTTACTACAGAAGAAGAACACTTACACAACCCTGTTTTATACTCCCCACATCTTCACAGCCTCCCTCCCATGCCCAGACAACACTGTAATCTTTTCTTTTTAAGACCCTACACTGCTATAACCTACGTTTTAACACTGCTCATCTCACAGTTACTCACTTTGATACCAGTCATTGCACAAAGGCAAGAATTTATATTCCCCCATACTTCAAGTACCTTGCACATTACAGGAACATAACAGATGTTGAATGAATGAATGAGGTGATAAATGAATATATTTAGACTTCGTTCCAGTTTCCCTTTCTTTTATATTTATTTAATAGCAACAAGTTACAAAAGTCTTAATCAGAAATTCAAACCCCATTGATTAAATCCTAAGCTGGAATGAGATCAATCAGTATGAAGCATCATTTACACAGCTGTAGCAAATTTTGCTTTAAATCATCTTATATGAGCTAGCAAATCCCAGAGGATACAACAAAAAGGCCTCTCATTTCTATTGTGCTTCTAATTTTTACAATGACGTGGTGGAAAACAATCTCTCATTTTCCTTTGGTCCATGAGTAAACTAAGGCTAAGAGACAGAGGAAGTAATTCGACAGATGTTCCAGGGCTAATAATTGACAGTTTGTCCTCAAGTTCAATCTTCTGATATGAAGTATGGTTTTCTATATAAACTAGAGCTACCTCTCTTGATATTTCATATCTAAGAAAAATTCTGAGATATATGGCCACTAAAATAAACCTGAATTAAGCTGAAAAGCTATATAACTGAAGGAAAAAAAGGAAAAAGGAATTTTTTTTCAGTTAAATTATCCAGGCAAAATTTTCCAAGTATTAATTGTGTGAATGGCTGTTTTGCAAATAGAGCAGCTTTTTTTCCTTCCATCTGTAAGTTTAGAAATGTACATCTCATGCCTTTATTGGCTAACTCTGGGAAAAACAGACACTTCCTGAGGCACACAGGCTGTGACTGGGCATACTGTGTCCAGGGCTAAGTCAGCAACCACACACAACAAGTTATTCTTTAACCTGCATGGTGGTTACTTAACAGTGGGAAAAAAATTATCGAAAACTAGTCTCTAGTTGCAAAAACAACAACAAAAAAACCCAAGAGAACCTTTGGATCTTCCCAAAACACTGATCTAATTTCGCATTCATAATACTTCTAAAACAGCAATATAGTTAAACTTATACTACGGAAAAATAAGCAATTCCCCAAAGGCATTATTTTTTATTGAGTAGTAAACCTCATCACCAAACCATTATAGAGAGAAACCATTCTGGAATAAGGTACCTGAAAACGAAGTATTTCATAATTCCTAAAGACTAGCTAATGCAGCTGTTCTGACAATGTCATTTGAATATTTGAAAATTCATTATGGAGAACAATAACTCATCTCCCCATAAATTGTTTCCAAACAAATTAACCCAAAAGCCATTAATGCAACAGCTGCTGCAATTAACCAATTCTTCCAACTTGCTGATTTGTCCATTTGGAATAGAGGAGGGACACAGGGAAGCTGAGAATACTTAACAATTTTCATGTAAAGACAAAGCTCAGTTTCAAAATCCCTGAACGTAGAAAAAAGAAACCCTTAACCATTATGTAAGCAAACACAGAGCACACATACTTCCAGAATGCCTAGCCATGTTTACATTTAGAGTTCAGAATAGGTGAAACCTGAAGACATGCATGGAATCCATGCTCATCACATTACATCAGGTTTACCATGTTAATTCCTGAAGGGGATTGTAATTCTTTATTCCATAATATTTCAGACCATAAATTTGCTGCACAGAAACACATTTCCACCTCTGCTACAGTTTTTATCTTGGATCTCTCTCTAATGCACTGTTCCCAACCTGTATCTCTTATGTAAAACAATCTGTTTAGCACTCTTGGGTTTCTAAACCCCACTAAGCATGTTTTTGATTTGTTGTTGACAGTGGTTATTGCATTTCTCCCCTTTGACCTCACACTCTGCTAAGAACTGCAGCTAAACCTACACATATAAAGATTAAAGGCAAGTCTACTGTGGCTTTTGAACATCAAACAGCCAGAGTTGTACATGACTCAAGAAAATTGCATGGAGGTGGCTCTGTTTTTGTCCTTCATGCTAGAAAATTCTTCATTATCATTCTTGTTGTGACTGCTCTTATCCATTCTCTTGGTGATGTTAGATACCCATAAGAAGTGATAAACACCCTCTACCAAGAGAAAATACATTCTAACCCACAGCACAGGGGTAGGCAAGAAGCAAAGAGGGGAGGGGAAAGATAGAGGCAGGACTCGTAGGAGAAGGAGAGGGGAAATTTGAACTGACCAACTAAAGCTTTTTAGAAAAAGCCACATGTATTTCCTGAAAGAAAATGTATTGTTTGCAGAATACGTGCTCCTCTGAATCTCAATATCTGATTACAAGCATGATCTGAATTTGATACAATTTATTCCTATTAAAGAAAACCTCCTGTGGAGAATAAGCCTTTGTTGGAGAGAGGAAACCAATGCTAAAATGCACCTGCTTCAGTTGGGTATGATTTATCACTTATCTTCAAGAAGAGGAAGCCCTAGTAACAAAAAATGTAAAGAAGCCTCATTCTGACAATCTTTAGAACCTTGAAGCTGAACCAGGGGATCAGTGAGGCTGTATCCTAATGTAGCTCCTGATGTTTCTAAACTTGAACCTACGTCTCTTCTCAGAGACTTTCATATTCAGTTTTTCAGACAAAATGTAGTGAAGGCTATATTGTTTTCTGTACAATTAATGTCAATAAACACTGTAGACTATGTATAACAATCTGTTTAGTGCTTCTGGGCTGCTAAGCTCTTCTCTAAACATCAGTAGAAAAAAAAATTGCTTCCTGTGAGTCCCACAGGTAGTCTAGAAATGTGAAATTTCCTATTGTAGAAATTCCCACAATTTAAACTCTTCCACTTAGCACATTAATTGGCAGCACATAATTTGAAAACACTGAATTAAACTGTGGAAAGAAATCCATTGTTTTGTTAATATTTCAGAGAACTTCTTCATGTGCTCTGGGTTTTCTCTTATCCTGGTTTAGTCTTTCTAGTTCACATCATTGAGGGAGCTCAGAGAACCGTAACTTCATGGGCTTATCCACCCACTGCTCTTAGTCACTTACTTTGTGTCCATTTCTACCCCAGAAGGTGAGAGAGCCGGGGCTGTTCATCTCGTCTAGCCTCCTCCTGTGCACCCCGACTCTGTCTCCTCTTTTACTGTTTCTGCATTTGCTGTACACATCTCATAAATGCACGGGAGTCTCAGAACTGGTTTGCTCCTTTATGCAAACACATTGCTCTGATATGCTTAGAACAAAATTCCAGAGGCCTTCCTGGAATCACAAGGCTGCAAGTATACACTAACACGATTTGGAAATACAGCTGTTGCCTCACTTTCTCTTAGAAAGTTAGTTTCTTGGAGACAAAAACCAACTTGAAGAGACGAAGTTTAAGGCAAACAAAAACATATAGTCTTTTATTAGCTTCTCCCTATGCATATTCACCTAAGTAAAGCTGATTCCAACCACCATCCCAATCAAAGAACAATGGCCTACATAACAGGTCTTCCAGTGTATCCTTGGGAACCCTGAGAAATGGTCCAGCCTTATTCTCAGAGGTTCACATTTAGCATATTCTTTATGGCCTTATCTCAGGTTTCCCCAAAGCAATTAAGATTATAGCAACAGGCAGGAACTGTGGTACCCTGTCAAGTGGTGGTTTCCTAGCTTGACTAGGGAAAGCCAGTTATCCATCCTGGGACCCTTGTCCTCCTCTGCCAATCATAGCAAGCATTTGTCCCAGGCGCCGTCTTTGCAGCAGTCAGTACGTACAGCTGTTGTAACCGAGGGAGCGAGAAATCACCACTAAGACAAAGACCAGGCCAAATTACAGGGTCTTTATTGCAGGCGGCGGCGGAGGACTCACGTCTCTCTAACCCGCAGCCCCGAAAGGAGGGTGTCAAGACCTTTTATGCCCATAAACCACCTCCTGGGCAGGGGTAGGGGCGAGGAGCTTTGGACATTCTGAGGGCCAGTGGACTCTGGACATTCCGATTGTTACTTAAGTGGTTCCCAGAAGTCAAGATAAGCGTTAGTTTACACATTGTCTGGGTAGGGTGGAAATGACAGACCTTAGTTACTTATTACAAGTCGCAGGGGCCAAAATTGAGTGGGTTTGGACTGCTTGCCTGTCACATCAGGGTTACAGAGAGCAGTTTCAACAGAAAGCCGAGGTATGGTTGACGTGTGCAGTTTATGGGGCTTTTACCATGTCACACAGCTGTATTCAATGTACTGAAAAAAATCACAAGAGCAGTAATGCCCAGAAACACAGCAGTGTAAGAAATGCTAATGAAACAATTTTCTTACTGAAATCCTATTTTTTATGATAATTAAACATAAATTCTAATTAATTAAGGCTGAGAATCAAGAAGTTTCCTTAAACTGCAGTAGCACTACTGCACAAACTATTATGTGGTCCTGCTGGTAAATCACAAATTGCAGCTATTATGGGAAGAGCACTCTATTAAAGTCAGGGTATTTTCTCCATTCATCTTTTTTTAAAGATTGTACAATATATTGGTCTGTACAAGGATTCATTTTTAAGCCTAACAGAAGCTGTTAAGATACCACTTACAGTACCATTTAAGTGCTCACTGCTGAATCTGTAGCCTTTGAACATATACTGAATTATGGCTCTGTCAGACTACACACATCCCAGCCAAAGGGTAGTCAGGGGAGGGAGCCAGGGGAAAGGCAGTGAAGGACCCCCGTCTATATTCGTTTGTCTCTGCTTAAGTTGATTTTAATGTCAGAGTTTGCTTACACTTTTTAAACTGTGTAACATATTTCAAAGAGACAAGTTCAATTTTCAAGTCAAACAGCAGATAATGGCATCAGGGATGCCTGCAACCACAAAGGAAATACACATAAAGAGGGCAAAATGCAAGTTAAATGTCTGCATAAGCAGCCAGATGGAAATGAGATTTCAAACGGTCCCCTCAACCTGGAGCTTTCTCAGCACTGTGTGTTTTTAGGACACTTTCTCATCACTAAAATTGCACACAATTACGATTATCTCTATTATACATGCTCAACAGTTAGTAAGAAACCAACATATTAAGTAATTTTTTAGTGGCTATATTTAGCAAGACAGTGACAAAGATATGAATGGCACTATTCAGAGGACAGCTAAAATATTTTGCTCACTTTAGGGACACAGAATTCATTAAATACCCAGGATTTTAAGATTTATGTTCAGAAAGACTAAAGGAAGCTTCGTTTTGATTAAACCTGTATAATCAAAAGTATAGTCTGCCTTATCGGTTCATCGAATGAAAAATGAAAAAATGACTGAATTAAATATCAATCACGAATTAAGATTTCTGACCTATAGAAACTTGATGAGTATACCCAGTTAGTGTTTTAAGTAAGAATTTAAGAAATCAGGAGAGCATGTCCTCTAACTTGGATTTTCCCTATGCAGTACATTTTTGTTTTTGTATCTGTGTTGAAAGAGAAGCAGAGGGGGAATGTTCCTGAAAGAACAGCATATGTGGGAAAAATTACACGTTCATATAGATTGAAAGTCATGAGACTGTAATCAGGCTTTGCTGTGTAATCTCTAACAAGGGGTGACTTTTCTGAGTTTCAGGGTCTGGAAGACAGGGCAACCATCATACACTAAGGTGACTCAAAAGAGTGAAGAGCAATTGGGGGCAGGTGACCTTGAAACCACCAAACTCTTTCAGGCCACTCTGTGGTTGAAGTTTGGGTCTTTTTGTAAGTCAAAAGAATGGCGAGTTCATTTCAAAGATGACCCAATTGCCTTTACTATCAGCTCTCATGGCTGTGGGCAAAGGAGAGAAGGTAGAGAGAAGGTAGAAAATAGATGAGTTTAAGGAGACAATGTGGCATTGCAGAGAAGGAAGAAAAGAATTGTCGAAAGACATACAGGTTGGATTTTTAATATTTGTGGGTCACAAAACTCTTTGAGAATCTGATGAAAACAGTAAATATTCAATCCAGAAAAGTGTACCTACAAAACACATTGTTTCCAGAGTTTCAAGCATCTTTTTTAAACATATGCTTGCAGGGGATCAGGACAACATATCAGACGTCTACAAAGACACCTCTATCTCTGATAACGATGATCTCATAGAAATATATTTTTAGGCTCAGGCAGGAGAATCGCTTGAACCAGGGAGGCAGAAGTTGCAGTGAGCCGAGACCGTGCCACTGCAATTCAGCCTGGGTGACAGAGCGAGACTATGTCTCAAAAAAATACATGTTTTTAACCTGGTGACATTCCTGAGATGTACTGAAGTAATGCATATCACAACATTTTTTTCCTTTTAAAATAACAGCACAAAATTTTCTATCTCTAGTTCTCTTGCTAAAGCAAAGTTTGAGGTTTCTCAAATATAGTTTAAAGTTACAGAAATAAAGAGCCAAATATGTCAAAATTCCTAAATTATGAAATTGTGATTGAGAGTGAAGAAACTATCGTCACACTGCATGAGTTTGAATCCCAGGGGACCCATTTTGTGACCACACATAGCTTACTATTCTGAGCCTCATTCTCCTTAACCATAAAGTAGAAATAATAACGGAACCTATTTCAAAGACTAAATGAGTTTGGATTGCTAAATGTGTTTATACATGGAAAACATTAAGAGCAATATCTAATATATCTTGAATTCTCAGTACATGTCAGACAGGGCATCACCACCATTATTCTCTTGGGAACTTGCTGTGTTTGGAATTGCCTTAGCCCCATAGGCAGAGAAAGGTACTTTCTTAGGAGTCCTGGTTCACAACTCAGACAACATCTTCTGAGGATTAAGCATGGTAGTACCCACAAAGTTACTTCAAAATTCCTATATTGAATTCTGGCTATAAATTCCTGACTTCTCTGTCCAAAGATTGAGGTCTGATGACCACACCTACTGCCCCCCATCTTTATGCTATTATAAAGCCTGACTTGGAACAAGCCGTAATTGCAATAATTGTGTCCTTGTCTGTGCCGTCCTATGGTATCTCCCATGAGTCTAATTAGCGTCAGCATAGCTACCCTATGTATCACTTTAAAAACACAGGGTAAATGAGCTTGGTACATTTTTAAGCGTGTGCAGTAATTACTGCTTTGCTACCTACTTCTTTACATTAGAGCAGTTTTAGTTACTTAGTGGGATTTCAGGACAGCCCAGAATTCATTTCACAGTTGGAAGGATAACATAATGTCGAACACTCAGAAGGTGTAAGACACTGAATATTGTCTTCACTCTAAGAGCCCCAGCCCGTGGAACTGAAGCACATGACCAAAGCATTAAGTCATTTTCTGAAATCCTGCTGCTGCTAGCTGACTCCACAAACATGCACTTAGCCATATTCTCCTGGGGCTTGCCGCTCTGCGGTAGTAAACAGACACCAATTGAAGCCACATTAACTCTTTCAGCTGCACTTCCACTCCCCCCAGTGAATAGAAGGCATAAAAGCAGCAATTTACTATATGATTTTGAACCATTCTCAACACATTTCTTAGAAAATGATGGTAAGCCTTAAGGGATTTCAAAGGTTGTAAAATCAAAGAGAAGTAGTGAGAAAAAAATATGTAACACTTAGAATTTCTCGTAACTTAAGAACAGATACTAATTCTATGCAAACTATGAAGCAAAACATGCGTGTTTTCTACTATTAAAATAACCACCTAAAAAAGTTCATGGTGGAAGTGTAAAACAGCTCTGGCTGGATAATTAATTTGCTCAATGACACTGTTCTCAAAACCAAAACTGTCATGTCCTTTTTATTACTTTTAAATATAAGGAATTAACCATGACAGTAGATTCCAAATGACAGATATGTCTCATGGCAATTGTGAACATTATCAGAATATAGCCAAACACTCAACAAGCATATATAAGCTACAAAGTGAATTAGAAAGGCAAGATCAGACAAATATTCTTACGGGAATCAAAAATTGCCCTCATGGTTGTCATTACCTCTTCCTGAACGTTACCACTTAAATCCTGGAAATAATTACATCCCAGGTTCCTAATTCCCAGCTACATAATTTGACCAATTTTGTGGTGTTCAAAAAGCGTTCATTTAGCATCTTTGAAATTTCATTCGAATGCTTTTACAATCTCTCCCAGATCATTAATTAAGGCATTCTAAGAGGCCAGTCATCTGGTCTCACAATAACCACTTCCTTCAGACTCAATAGAGGGTTATTTATCAGCAATCTTTGCAATCGTTCACCCCTTTTTTAGAGAATTTTTTAATCCCTAGCAACTTCAAAACACAATGAAACCTATAAAAACTTCAGATTTTATCTCCATTCAAAACAGACTGTTTTAAATTGCCAAATTTTGTGGTTTAATTGATCTTTTTCAGCTTTCCTCAAGATATCTCTATAAAACAAGAATAAGTATTCTGTTACTATCACACTATGCATCTAATGACAATAGGAGAGCATTTTAGGCTATATCTCCTTAGGCTGAACAGGTTTAAAATTTAACTGGTATCCCAAGGTCAAGTTATTCAACTTGCTCACAAATAAATGTGTTTCTTTTCAGACTTTATTTATCCTAAGATATTATCATACTTAATGATCTCTATGGTAAACATATGTTTTTAAGATGACATAATACATGAGCTAAAAATAATTTTACTTGCAAGAAAACAAAATGGTAGAATACTTCCCTATCTCAGTGCTTGACAAATAGTAGTTATTCAATGAGGTTTGTTAAACCAAGTGAGTCTTTTTCATATGGTTGTATCGAGGTACACACAAAGCACACCTTGTACTTACATACTGCATTAGTTAAGAAAAAGACATTATTCTGACTTGGAGAAACTACGCAGGTTTGAAGGCACAGTCTCCACAAGACCACCCTCACTTCAGAAATCAGCCATAAGCTTCAGGGATCCCAGGCCACCTTCACTTCATACCAACTGGCTATAAGTTTCAGGGTTTCCATGAGCACTGTCAGGCTGGAAAATTCACTAGAAAATCTCAAAGAATTCAAGAAAACACTCTACTCATGACTAAAGTTTTATGACAATGAAAAGATACAAATTAGAATCAGCCAAACTCAAAGAGATGCCTGGATGCCAGAATCTCAGAGAGGTCCAAATGTGGAGTTTCGGGTCATCTTCTGTGGCATCTTGGGTGATGGATATAGTGTGTGACGAGTGAGTATTGCCAACCAAGGAAGTTCACCTTTGAAGTCTAGAGTTTTTATTGGGGATTGATCACATACTGCCCAAGCGGCTGACCTTTAGTTGCCAGCCTCCCCGGTAGTTCAATTTAATACTTTTAGTCACCAGTTTTTCATTGCATATTATGGCAATCCCATTGCAAATCCCATTGTTAGATTTTCCAATGGCAAAAGTCCCTAGATTAAAAAAAGGAAAAAGAAAGAAAAAACCTTCTGTCAGGCAAGACATTCCAGAGAGGTAGAGATCACCTCCCAGTAGCCAAGAGTGGAAGCCAGATCTCTACTTGGTGAAAGTTGATTGTTTACTATGTAGACATCATCATTTCCTAATGGATTATCAAATATTAGATAGGAAAAGGACACTAGAATAAGGATTTACAAGCAAATCTTCCCCTATAGTCGGTAAGAATTATATGCATAAGTATATCATATCCAATTTTAGCCAACAAGTTCACACCAAAAAGCTTTAAGGATGACAAGTAGCAAAAACTATTTAAATTTTTTTTTATCAGGCATGATAAAATTGAAAAGAGTTAAAGGAAACTGGTCCTGAAAAGATAAAACTAGGTGAAGTCAAAATTCTTAAAGCAAAATTAATTTTACCTAGCAGTTGTTAATGGACCTATGCAGATCACATGCTTTGTAAGGTATTTCTAACAGTCACAACAATTAGAAACGAAGTTTCAGGACTCTCAGTAGGAAAAAGCAAATTGGCTTTTGCGAGAATTAAGACTATAACTTTTGTTGGACATTTCAACCAACTGACGTTTAGAAAATGAAAAATGTATAGATAGCAAAAGAAAATGTATTTAGAAATTAATATAGTCCTGAAGTGAACGGATGATTCAACATTTGGACAGCCCTAAAAGATACAACACAATCTCAACTCATAGAAATCTTTTAAAATGGAATCAATAAAGAAAAGTTTTTTTGATAAGAAGAAAAAATGACATTCAGGCATAAATTGGAACCATATAACACTCTGGACACCTTGACAATACACAATTCTACAAGTTTCTAAATAAAACAAAAGCAAAAGCAAAATTCTTCGATTATACATAAAGTTAACGTTAAATAAACTTTCTAAAATAAACTAAAACCTCTGTGACAAATTTTATTAAGAACAGTATTAAGAAACATTTAATTTATAACATTCACTTTTTAAATAAAGTTTTATAAAAAAAAACTTTGGGTTACTCTTGGATAAACCAAATAATATTAAACAAAATAAACGTTGAAGTGATGTTTTAAAATTACAACATTCGTTAAGGAGCCTAATAACAATTATCCTTTGTTAAAAGTATAAGCAATCAAATAATTTAACCATGTAGTTTTCAACTTTTTCTTAAATTTATCCAAGAAAGCTTTCAGAGTTAGATTTCACAGCCTAGGTAAAATCCACCTAAAAATGTCAACAACTAAATTTAACAAATGTTTTTCATGGCTTAGAGATGTTTTTCGATGGTAAGTGCTCCCTCTGGTCTTATAGTATTCGGAAACTTCCTATCATTTTATGAGCTTACTTCTACACAGAATGAACTACAAAGAAAGATTCAAAGCCTGCAATACAATCTGTTCTGCTTAAGCTGAACCTTCTATTTCTCTTCATCCCATCCTCCCAAAGAGGCTCAATTAAGTTTTAAAAGGTTAATAATAATGAATAAAAGGAAAGATATACCATGTTCCTAGAAAGACTCCGTATTATGAAGCTGTCAATTCTCTATAATCTACAAATTAAGTGTAACTAATTTAATCTAAAATCTCATTTGAAGTTTTTATAAACATACTGAAATAATTTAGAAGTTCTAGAGGAACCGGGAAATTCCAGAAAAATAAATTATAAGGAAAAGGATGACCCATACTGATAGCAAATCAATGGCACCATAAAGTTACAGTAATAGACTCTAGTTTCTAATTTATAAAATTACATATTGCATGACATCTTTCTGTAATAAATATGAATTAATGTTAGAATTAAAACATCAGAAAGAAAATTCTTTTGGAAAAAAAAATCCACGTTCTTATTGAAATTTTGCCCTATAAAGTAATAATGAGGAAAGAATGAGTCCTACAAATTGAGTTATAGGATGGTAATTTATTTTTCCTAAAAGGAAAAAGTATTACTTGCCATATTCTATGCCATACAAAAGCAGCTACTTATGTACAAAATATGTTACATCATTTTATATGTTGAGAAATACAAAGATACAAAATTATCTTTCCAGAATCACCTTAAGCCTTCCTTCTCTATAAAATTCTGATATTCTCCTCACATTGTGCAGAAATGGCCACCCTCTTCTAATGTATCCCAGTAAATTTCTTATATAATTATATTATTACTGTTACTGATGGTGCAGGAAAATATACATTTTAATTGATGGTGAGAATGTACATTATGTCTGTCCTTTTGGAAACACCCATTATAATTTTAAATTTTGTGGCAACGATATCGCTTTAGTTTAGACATCTGACATGCCTAGTATATACTTTATATATTCAAAGATGTTGAATATCGTCCTAGTGGCAAAAAAATTAAATTCCCAACTGAATAAAAGTTTAATAAAGTTTTATGTGAATTTTTTATTGTCCCACATGGCCTATTATACAACCAATAGAATAATAGTTGCCATAATGGCCTAGAGAGGTTTCCATGAGGCTTTGGTAAGTAAAAAAATGTGAGAAGAGGAGAAACAAACATAATCTTATTTTTACAAAGCAAAGAAATGACAAAAATATATTCATTGACTCTCTCTCTGTGTATAGTGAATATGTAAATTCTGGAAAAAATTACTAAAAACTACATATCTCGTTAACCTGTGTTACTTCCTGGGAAAGAGAAAAAGTTATGTGATAAGGATAAAACCAGACAACCAAACATAATGATTACATAAACTTTAATCTATTAATGCAATGGACTGCATTAATAATTTTTTTATAATTCAACCATCTTTGAGTACCTATAATAAACAATAATAATTTATTATTGGACAGTGCTAAATCCAACTTACTAGTATTTATTTGTTGTGTATCTTTTTTCATAAGGTTGGTTCATAACACTGAAGACCAATGGAAATACAATGCAAGCCAAGCCCCATATACAGTGTTCTAGTAACCACTTAAGAAAAATAAAAAATAAGTGAATAAATTTTAATATAAAATCAACCTAATATAACAAATATAAATCTATCAATATAAAATTACTGAGATATTTCATACTTTATTCTAAGTCTTCTAAATCTGTATGTATTTTACACTAGAGTATGTCTCAGTTTAGCTGTTAATATTTGATGATTTGATAATTTGGGGAAGAAGTTGGCCTGAAACATATCAACAGGAGAAGCAGCTTATGCTGACCAAGAGGCAGCAAACAAGTTCCTAGATGCCATTAACCAAATCATTGAGGAGAAAGGATACCTGCCTGAATAGACTTTTAACACAGGAAAAAGTACCCTATGGGACATTTATTAGTAAGGAAGAGAGTCAAGTACCAATATTTAAGGCAGGATTTAAGGCTAACTACTGTTTTGCAAATGCAGTCAAGTTTATGATCAGGCCTGCCCTTATATATAAAGGTGCTAACCTTCATACATTGAAGGGAAAAGATAAACACCAGCTGCCAGTCTTTTGATTGTACAACAAGAAGTCCTGGACAAGAGGCATTCTTCTGGACTGGCTCCATTAATGCTTTGTCCCTGAAGTCAGAAGTAGACTGCCAGTAAGACACTACCTTTTGAAGGTCTTCTGATTTTAGACAATGCCTCCTGGCCACCCAGAGAGCCATGAGTTCAACACCTAAGCCATCAAAGTGGTTTACTTGCCCGCAAACAAAATGCCTCATTCAGCCTCTAGAACAGGGAGTAGTAGGACCTCTAAGGCTCATTACACGTGGTTCCCTATGAAAAGGATTGTCAACACTATAAAAGAGAACCTCAA